GATGTCCTTTTGAGGAGGGGGCTGTGGCCTGGGCCCCAGAGGCTCCAGGGAGCCCAGAGGCCATTGTGGCCTCAGGTGCTGGAGCCCACTATCAGTGACACACACAGGGTAGGAAAAACTAGAAAACTGGCCTACTGGGGGTCCTAGACCCCACTTCCCAGGGTAGTGATAATTTCCTGTTTTTCTCTCCTTATGGCTTCCTCCCTTCCCAGAGGAAGGAGAAAGGAACTGCCCCACTCTGGGGGTGTCTGTGAACATGCCCCTCTCCACCCCAGCCCTCCGTAAACTCCCATGCATAACGGCCAGTTGGCGGAGGCTGTGGAAACAAAGGAGAGATGGGAGCTCATTCCCGACTGGTCCTGTTCCAGCACTGCCTGGCCACGCCCCTCTGAAGCCAGACCTTCTAGACCCCGGGCCCAAACTGCATGAATTCTGTCAGGTGTGGCCACTCACCCCTGCACACCAACTAAAGAGATAGAGAGAAGGGCAGAAAAAGATTTACTGCATGGCAGTGGTATGCCAAGCAGAGACAGCACTTCAGTGTGTCTGTGACCATCCTTGCATATGAGCTTTAGATGGCAGAACATTTTCAGTCCCGGGGATGGTGGCTTAGAAGAACATTCTCTTGGTCTTTGTTTCTGCAAAAGTTACCCCTTTCATCACCTGAGGGGTGTGGGGATGGTCAGTGTCACCTTCGCTGTAGCTGGCAGGTGTTTGCCCTGAGCCTCTGGTTGTCTTTCTTTTTCTTTTTTTTTTTTGAGGCAATTTTGTCTTTTACCACAAGATGGCTTTTTGTAAAAAAGATTCTGTCTGAGGGACACTCTGCCTACGTCACAAGATGTTTATCTGTAAATCCTGTCCTTCCTAAAACCCAAGGCAATTACGAAGTGATTGTAGGAAAAAGATTTAAAAAAAAAACAAAACACAGGTGTAAAGTGAGGGCTTTTATTCTGCTCTAGTTCATTTGGAGGCCCAGCAAAAGCTCTACGCAGCTCTTACCCTGCTTGGACCATGTTTGTCCCGCCAGCCTGGACTGTTGTGAGGGAGGAGGGTCCTGACAGGCCAGGCGTTTGTCTGTCAGCAGTGTCCAGGTTCTGCCCAAATTCCCTATAGCCATCCCAGGCAGACGAGGAAACGGAGTTTTGGTGTGATTTTTTTTTTCCCTCCAGTCCTGGGACTTGAATTCAGGATAAGGGCACTGTCTCTGAGCTCTTTTGCTCAAGGCTAGCATTCTACCATTTGATCCACAGCTCTACTTCTGGCTCTTTTGGTAGTTCACTGGAGATAAGTCACAGGTTTTCCTTCTTGGGCTGGCTTAGAACCATGATCCTCAGATCTCAGCCTTCTGAATAGCTGATTATAGGTGTGAGCTACCAGTGCCCAGCAAGTTTGGGGTATTTTAAGTAGTTGTGTCTATTACGTGCTAGTTTGGTAGTTGGGTGGGTTTAGCCTCTAGGAAATATGAGTGCTGAGCGTGTTGGATATACCAGCAGGAGGTGACATCCTGGGTGAGGGGCTGCGGGCTGGTCATAGGATTGTAGTAATGGCAACACTGCCTAGGAGCTGATCCTGGAGGTAGAACCAACTCCCACCGTGAGCGTCTGACTACAGGCCCTAAGTCACCCAGGTCTCCAAGGAGAGAGGCCTGTCCTGCAGGCTCTTTGTCCTCTGGTCATGTGCACAGCTTTCAGCTTGGGCAAATGCTTTCTAGCCTGAGAGTTGTCTGCCACACCCTCAGAGTTCACAACCCTCACGGTTGCATCTGAAAATGAAGTCTCTGGAGAGACAAAGTAAAACGAGGTCATTGGGCAGTCATTGTCCAGCATAGCGGGTTCCTTACGCGAACAGATCAGAACACAGACACACACACAGGGTAGCCACGTGAGAAAGGAGGGAAGATGGCAGCTCCAAGCCAAGTACAGAGGCCCAGCAAAGAACTGGCCCTGCCCACACCCCCGATCCTGACCAGGACTAGATAAAGCAGTCAGGGGGCTTGAACTCTGGGCCTGGGTGCTGTCCCTGCGCTCTTCAGTTCAAGGTGAGCGCTCTACTGCTTGAGCCACAGCGCCACTTCCAGTTTTCTAGTGGTTTATTGGAGATTTGTCTCACGGACCTTCCTGCCCGGGCTGGCTTTGAACCGCGATCCTCAGATCTCAGCCTCCTGAGTAGCTAGGATGACAGGCGTGAGCCACTGGTGCCTGGCTGATAAAGCTCTTTTCTATGGCACCCAGAATGTGGTGTGTATTGCAGCAGCCCAAGCAGACTGATTCACCGGCAAAGTAGTTCCATTTGTGCGTCCCTTGCAGCTGGTATTAGCTGGGTTAGGTTCATCTAGGGAGGGGTCACGGAGTGGTGGGACTCAGCTTGGAGTCAGGATTCACCTGGAGACCAGCTTGAGACTGGGAGCTTACCGGGAGTTGGGGCCCCCCTAGGGGCAGAACTCCCTGGAGCGCACCTGGAGTCAGAGCTTACCTAGAGTGGGGTTCCGCTGGAGACCACCATGCTCACTGGGGAATGGGGCTCACCTGGTGGCAGAGTTTACCTGGAAGTGAGGTTGACCAGGGCTGAGGCTCAGCTGGGGTCAGAGCGCCCCTCACAGGAGAGGTGCTCATTCCGGTCGGCATCCCACCAGTCAGGACGGAGTTGGCTGGGGTGAGCCCAGGGACGCCAGGGTTTGCAGCCTGGGGCGAGCGGGGCTGCTGGGACTGGGCTTCAAGGACGTTTGAGACAGCCGGGCTGCTGACAGCGCCATGCTGCAGCTGGCCACACCTCCCCGTGCCCCGCCCCACCTCCCCTGCGCCGCCCCACCTCCCCTGCGCCGCCCCCTCCCCTGCCACGCCCCACCTCCCCTGCGCCGCCCCCTGCCACGCCCCCTCCCCTGCCCCGCCCCACCTCCCCTGCGCCGCCCCTGCCACGCCCCCTCCCCTGCCACGCCCCACCTCCCCTGCGCGGCCCCACCTCCCCTGCGCCGCCCCCCTCCCCTGCCACGCCCCACCTCCCCTGCCACGCCCCACCTCCCCTGCCACGCCCCCTCCCCTGCCACGCCCCACCTCCCCTGCCACGCCCCCTCCCCTGCGCCGCCCCACCTCCCCTGCCCCTCCCCCTCCCCTGCCACGCCCCACCTCCCCTGCGCCGCCCCTGCCACGCCCCCTCCCCTGCCACGCCCCACCTCCCCGTGCCCCGCCCCACCTCCCCTGCGCCGCCCCTGCCACGCCCCCTCCCCTGCCACGCCCCACCTCCCCGTGCCCCGCCCCACCTCCCCTGCACCGCCCCCTCCCCTGCCACGCCCCACCTCCCCTGCCCCGCCCCCTCCCCTGCCACGCCCCACCTCCCCTGCCACGACCCCTCCCCTGCGCCGCCCCACCTCCCCTGCCCCTCCCCCTCCCCTGCCCCGCCCCCTCCCCTGCCACGCCCCCTCCCCTGCCACGCCCCACCTCCCCTGCGCCGCCCCTGCCACGCCCCCTCCCCTGCCACGTCCCACATCCCCTGCCCCGCCCCCACCTCCCCCGCCCCGCCCCCTCCCCTGCCACGCCCCCACCTCCCCCTGCACCACACCCTCCCCCTGCACCGCCTCCTCCCCCTGAACCGCCCCCTCCCCCTGCACCGCCCCCTCCCCCTGCACCGCCCCCACCCCCTGCACCATCCCTCCCCCTGCACCGCCCCCCTCCCCCGCCCCCACCTCCCCGCACCGCCTCCCCCCGCACCGCCCCGCACTGTCCCCCGGGCTTCCCCGGCGGATGCTGGCCACCGTGCTGAGGCAGACGAGCCCCTGATCTGCGCCCGCCCTGCCGTCCGCGCTCTGCCGGCGCCCTCGCCCCGCAGCCCGGCACAGGGTGACACCGGCGCCTGCCGGAGGCCTCCAGGGTTTGGCCTCCCGCCTTGCCCCTGACGGTCCCGGAAGGGACCCCCCCCCCCGCCTGCCCCTCCCCCCGCCTGCCCCTCCCCCCGCCTGCCCCTCCCCCCGCCTGCCCCTCCCCCCGCCTGCCCCTCCCCCCGCCTGCCCCTCCCCCCCGCCTGCCCCTCCCCCCGCCTGCCCCTCCCCCCGCCTCCTCCTCCCCCCCCCCCCCCCCCCCCCCGCCTCCCTCAGTAACGCCGCGGTGGGACCCTGACACTTCAAAAGACGATTGGAAAGTGGAAGGCGGCGGCGGGCGGGGCGGGGCGGGGGCTCCGGGGCGGGGGGGGGGGGGCTCCGGGGCGGGGGCTCCGGGGCGGGGGGGGGGGGCTCCGGGGCGGGGGGGGGCTCCGGGGGGGGCGGGGGCTCCGGGGCGGGGCGGGGGCTCCGGGGCGGGGCGGGGGCTCCGGGGCGGGGCGGGGGCTCCGGGGCGGGGCGGGGGCTCCGGGGCGGGGGCTCCGGGGCGGGGGCTCCGGGGCGGGGCGGGGGCTCCGGGGCGGGGCGGGGGCTCCGGGGCGGGGGCTCCGGGGCGGGGGCTCCGGGGCGGGGGGGGGGGGGGGCTCCGGGGCGGGGGCTCCGGGGCGGGGGGGGGGGGCTCCGGGGCGGGGGGGGGCTCCGGGGGGGGCGGGGGCTCCGGGGCGGGGCGGGGGCTCCGGGGCGGGGGCTCCGGGGCGGGGGCTCCGGGGCGGGGCGGGGCGGGGGCTCCGGGGCGGGGCGGGGCGGGGGCTCCGGGGCGGGGGGGGGGCTCCGGGGCGGGGCGGGGCGGGGGCTCCGGGGCGGGGGGGGGGCTCCGGGGCGGGGGGGGGGGGCTCCGGGGCGGGGCGGGGGCTCCGGGGCGGGGCGGGGCGGGGCGGGGCGCGGCACCCGCGTCCGCCGGGACCCTGGGCTCGGTGCGGACTGTTCCGCGGGGCTGCGTGCGGGGCTCACCGCGTCCGCGAGCGCGAGCCCCTCCATGAAGACACCGCGCCTGTGATGGGAGCGTGCTTTATTTGACCTCCTGCGTCTGGAGGCTGAGTGGGAGCAGGCAGGGGTCGGGGCCCAGCTCCCCGGCGCTGCGGTCCCCGGCGTGCCCCGTCCCCGCCCCGCTCCCGCCCCGCGGCGCCAGGCCTCAGATCCACACGGTGGCTTTGCCGTCCCTGCTGCCGGTGCTGCCCTTCTCGGAGCCGGCCCTGGGCCGGGCGCCCGGCCGACCCTGCTCCCCCAGCGTGCCCCCCGACGTGGCGCTGCCGGTCCCGGAGGCCGGGGCCCCGGCCCGGGGCGGCGCCCGGGACGCGGCCGGCAGCGCGGGGCCGTCCCCGGCCGCCCCGTCCCGCAGCGCCTGCAGGGCCAGGTGCGCCAGGTGCTGGTCGTGCGCGTGCGCGCGCGCGCGCTCGGCGGCGCGCACCACCAGGCTGTAGTCGGGCGGGCAGGCCAGGCCCGGGGCGGCGGCCAGGCCCGGGGCGGCGGGCGGGAGCGCGCGCGGCGCGGGGCCCGGGGCCGGCGGCGCGGCGGGGGCCCGGCGGCCGCGCACGGCGTCCTGCGCGCTGCCCAGGCCGAGGTGCGCCATCTCGCAGAGGTTGAGCAGCAGGCACAGGCAGCTGACCACGTACATGACCAGCAGGAAGACCGTCTTCTCCGTGGGCCGCGACACGAAGCAGTCCACCACGTGCGGGCAGGGCCGGCGGCCGCAGGCGAAGGCGGGCGGCACCTCGAAGCCGTACAGCAGGTACTGGCCCACCAGGAAGGCCACCTCGAAGGCCGCGCGCGCCACCAGCTGCGCCACGTACACGCGCATCAGGCCCTCGCGCTGGATGCGCCGCCGGCCGTCGTGCTGCGCCGGCCCCGCCGCGCCCGCCCCGGCCGCGGGCCCCGCCTTGGCCGCCGGCGCCTCGTCCTGGCCGCGGGCCTCGGGCGCGCCCGGCTCCTCCGCCTCCGCCTCCGCCTCCGCCTCCTCCGCCTCCGCCAGCCCCAGGATGGGCTCGGCCTCGCCCAGGTCGGCGGGCTCGGGCCAGCCGGGCGGCGGCGGCGGCGGCGGCGCGCGGGGCGGGCCCGGGCGGCGGCGGAGCGCGCGGCGCCGCTCCCGCTCCGAGGCCCGCGCCAGCCGGTGCACCGCGTAGCCCAGGTACATGACGGAGGGCGTGGAGATGACCACGATCTGGAAGACCCAGAAGCGCACGTGCGACAGCGGCGCGAAGGCGTCGTAGCAGACGTTGTCGCAGCCCGGCTGCCGCGTGTTGCAGGTGAACTTGGCCTGCTCGTCCGAGTAGATGGCCTCGCCGCCCACGGCCGTCAGCACGATGCGGAACACCACCAGCACCGTCAGCCACACCTTGCCCACGAAGGTGGAGTGGTTGTGGATCTCCTCCAGCAGCCGCGTCAGGAAGCTCCAGCTCATGTTGGTCATGGGCGCGGGCGGGCGGGACCTGCGGGCGGCGGGGCTCAGGGGTCAGCCGGGGCCGGCGTGAAGCCGCGTGCCCCGCCCGCGGGCCCCGGACAGACCCCGGCGTGAAGCCGCGTGCCCCGCCCGCGGGCCCCCGGACAGACCCCGGCGTGAAGCCGCGTGCCCCGCCCGCGGGCCCCGGACAGACCCCGGCGTGAAGCCGCGTGCCCCGCCCGCGGGCCCCGGGCAGACCCCGGCGTGAAGCCGCGTGCCCCGCCCGCGGGCCCCGGGCAGACCCCGGCGTGAAGCCGCGTGCCCCGCCCGCGGGCCCCGGACAGACCCCGCCTCCGCCCCCCCCCCCCCCTCAGCCCGGGACGGCCCGCGCCTGCCGCCCGCGGCCCCGCCCGGGCCCGGGACCCTCCGCAGCTCCCGGAACCGCAGAGCCGCCCGAGCTGCCTTGGAGGCCGGAGGAGAATCCCAGGCCCGGCCGACACAGCTCCTCTCCGCCCGCCCTGGCCGCCTCCTCCGCCTCCAGCCTCCCTGACCCCGGTCTCTCCGTGCCCCGCACAGCAGTCTGGGCGTGGGCTCCCCTTCCCGGCGAAGCCCTTGCTGGTCCTGCTGAATCCGGCGTGTCATCTGCTCCCCAGGGCCCAGAGACCACCTAGGGTGCTGATGCAGCCCCCACACTGTTCCCAGCGAGGACCAGCAAGCAGGATGCAGGCAGGATACAGCCAGTGAGGCTGCAGACACCGGCCTGCTGGCCACACTGCGAGCCGGCGAGCCCTGGGCCTGGGAGAGGGCCTCCGCCGTCTCTGATTGCCCACCCTCGCATTCGTGCCCACCCCGCCGGTACCTGCCCCTGGGTTCCTTTGGGGCGCGAGACCCCGTCGCAACCCACAGCGTACTTCTGCCCTGGACGGGCCTGGGAGGCAGCTGCAGGAGGTGTGTGAGCGGCGTCGGGAGCCTGGGCTCCAGGCCTCTTTATGGGGCTGGGGCCTCTCCCTGCAGCTCAGGAAGAAGCAGCAGCCAGAGGGGGCAGCAGGGGTTCCTGAGGAAGTGGCCCCACTTCCTCTGGTCTGTGCAGCCCCCACCGGAGCCACATACACTCCCATGTGTTCAGTCACACACCTTCATGGCACACTTAGTCAAACACATGTACACAGACATGAAAACAGGTGCAAACACAAGTGCACATATGTAAATATAGGTATGCACTCACAGATCACATCCACACACATGCAAACATACCTACATACAATCACATGCATGCATGGGCTCAGACACGTGTGCACACATCCAAATGTGCATATCTGCACTAAGATGCACAGAAGAGCACATGACCTGTCACCCATGAACACAGAGAAACATTTGCACATGCACATAAATACGCACACACCAACGTGCGCACAGACATTCACAGGCCAGTGCACCCACAGGCCTGCACTCAGGCAGGTGTGAACGTATGGGGCCTGATGCCTCCCAGGGGTGGATCCAGCTTCCTACCACCGTCACTGGAGCAGGAGGCTCCTCCTAGGAGCCCTAGATGAGCAGCCCAGAGGAGAAATAGAGTAAGGGCTCTTGGGAAGCTTCAGCAGACTTGCCCGTCAGTGTGTGTGCAGCTTTAGCAATTAGATCTCTGTGGGAAGCCCTGGCTTGTGGTGTTTGCCTGTGCACAGGTGTAAATAATGGCTGATTAACACTGAGTGTGCAGTTGAGAAGTGCAGCCATTGCAACAGCCCAGGCTGACTTTGTCCTGGGGTCTGAGGGAGGATGCTTTGCCTTTGGGAGCCCCTGGCACTGTGCTTACATGCACAGTCACAGCCATTAATTCTGCACCGATTTCCTAGGGCCATGGGTCAGAAGTTGGCTGGAAGAGTCGGGGTCCTGGTCTCAGGTTGTGAATATGGGAACTCCCAAATCCATGCTCCCAAATCATTTCTTAGCTCTTTTCTGCCTAAAACTGGCACTCAGGCCCTCTGCAGGAAACTCAAACTCCAGAAGCACAGACCTAACTGCCGGTCTTCCCTCAGGCCTCACTGCCAGTCTCCCCTCCAGAGCAGCCTCATCCGCACAAGATACTTAATTTGGATGGCGTTTCCCCTCCTGCCCTCTCCGTCTGAACTCACCTGCTCCTGCCTGACTGCATGACCCAGGCCCCCTCCATCCTGTGGGTTGCTGGCTGCTGCATGCCTCCCTCCCTGTGAACCTCACTTCAGCTGACACAGCTTGGAATTGCCCACTAGCACAGGTGACTTGCCTCCCCCTCCCCCATCGTTCCCACTACCCTTTCGGCTATGTTCCAGCCCACTCCTGCTGGAGGTGATGGTACGTTTTCATGCCACTGCACACATTCTTACACACACACACACGTTCCTACACAAACACGTTCATGCACATGTGCACACTTGCATATACACATGTACTTGGCCCTGCCCCAGTTTGCCTTTCAGAGGCCTCCCAACAGGGATGGGTTTACATCCAGATGCTGCTGTCCTGCCTGTGTGCCTGGTGAACATTCCTTAAGGTAATCTCAGAGTGTTTACAGATATGCTGTGGCAACCCATGGGCTTGTACACACACACACTCACACACACGTCCTTGCACTGTCCTCTGAAAAGGACTAAATACAAGGACACATCTGAGTCCCAGATCTTGGTTTCTCCACTCCTAATAATAGGAACTAGGATCTGGGCACCAGTGGCTCATGCCTGTAATCCTAGCTACTCAAGAGGTTAATCTCCATTTAACCACCCAAAAGCCAGGAGCCAAAAAGCCAGAAGTGGAGGTATAGCTGAAGTGGTAGAGTACTAGCCCTGAGCAGAAAAGCTAAGGTACAGAGCTCAGGCCCTGAGTTCAAGCCTCACTATCAGCGCACGTGCACATATACACGAAAAGGATCTGGGACTCCTTGGGGAAGTGGCAGAGATCGAGAAGATGGATATGCTTAAACACACATACATGCTTGCGGAGGTTACTCATCTGTGATGCACAAATGGCACAAGTGAGGGCAGGAGACAGATTCCCAAGTGCAGAGGAGCTGTGCAGACACTGCGCAGGGGCAGAGGAACAAAACCCCGCACGAGAGAACAGGATGAGAGGGAATCGTTCACACTTGCAGTGACACATTTAACCACATCCCGACCAGGCAACTGGCGTCAGCACCACGTTGATACCACCTGCAGGGCCTCACTCCCATTCCAAAACTCGTTTCCTGAGACACCGAGGAAGAAAACGAGCCGATTTCCAATGGAGGAAATTGATACTCTACAAAATGCTTGGGCAATATTCATCCAAATGGCCAAAATAAGAAGAGTCTGAGGACACCCAGACCAGAGATGCCTGAATGTCAGGAAGGGCCTTGGAAGTCCAGATAAGAATGCAGGAGAGACCTAAGAACATCTGAATGGAGTGTGGTCTTTAGGCAGCGCGGATCCAAGCAGGCATCATCAATTAGTTCACTATGATGACAAATGTATCTCACTAAAGCAGACATAAGCATGAGGGACATGGGAAGGAGCTTCATCTCCAACCCATTTTGCTTTGGTTACTTGGGAGGTAGTGTCTGACTTTATGCCCTGCCCAGCCTTCCCCTACTTACATTTTCCAGTTGGGACGCAGGTCACTGTCACAATACCTGGACATTTGTTGAAATGGTCTTGTTAACTTTTTAATTCCAGCCCCTGCCCCACCTCCCCCAGCTTCAAACCTCCACTCCAATCTCTGCCTCCCAAGTAGTTAGGATTACAGGTTTGAGTAACCACACCTTACTTTTTTTTGTTAATCTAAATACATTTAATTAGAGAAAGGACCTTCAGCAACAGAGGTGGGAGCTGCCCCAGCTCTGAGAGCTGATCTTCAGTCAGGAAGCCCAGTGAGGTCCAGGATGAGAGGTTCCATGGGGGAAGGGGACTTGGCCAAGGCCTGGTGCTGGTCAGTAAAGGGTGAGGCTAGGGAAAGAGGGATGGCAGTTACCCACTGTCCGCATTCACCTGCCCTGGCCTCACAGTTACCCACTGTCCACATTCACCTGCCCTGGCCTCGGCAGCTACCCAGGGCCAGTGGAGGTGTTCACAGTGAGTTCAGCGCAGGGACTCCTGTGAATCCTGTGAGTCTCCAGTGGGGCTGTCCCACGCCCATCACACCCCGACAGCCTTGGACACTCCGGCTGGTCGTGGCAGGCGCTGCCGACGGCATGGAGGGGGCTCTCCCCACTGGGAGCTGAGATGGGGAAGGGAGAGCGATGGTTGGGCTGGAGTCGTGCTCCGGGAGGAGTCTCTGGTTAAGCAAGCAAAGCTACTGTCTAGGAACTCACACCCAACCCCGCATGGCAGTAATGAGCAGCCAGCCCAAACCTCCCGGGGGGCGACTAAACCTGCCTATCCCAAACTGAACGAGGTTGTGTGGGGCTCCAGAGCCAGGGAACTCCCTCTCACTCCTGCCCAGTGTTTCCGTCCCTTGTCCACCCCTGTCAGGGCGGGGCTTCCTGCTGCCCAGGCGGGTGCTGGCAGGGGCGGGCAGAGGCTTGGCTACCAAGCAGGGTGGTGAGGAGTGGCCCCTCACTCTTCCCCTTCCTGAGGATGATGGGGTTGGCACAGGGCTGTCCTTCCCAGAAAAGTCTCTCTCTGACGGCCACCGCTCAGCCCTTTCCCAGCTCCCGGGTGGCACGGCCCTGGGCCCTGCGGGGCAGGCAGCACTCACGCAGAGAAGCCACAGGGCTTCCGCTCCGCAGGCCTCGGCCGCGTGTACCCCCTGGGACAGGAACTTTCTCCTGCCTGGGCAGGCAGGTTCTAGGCCCAGGACGTTTGGCCTCAACACACCTCCTGCCACCCTGGCTGGCAGGTGTGCTGTCAGCCAGAGCCCGGACCTCCAGCCTCGGCTGTCCAGGCTGGAGACTGGCTGTGTGGCACTTCAGCACACAGCATCCTGCCTTCAGCACATCTGTAGCCTTTCCACTTCCTCCCCCCTGGAGGCAGTCTAGGTACTGTCCACACCCCCCCCCCCAGGGAACCTGGGAATCTCCACTCAGGAGACGGCTCAGTCCTGCCAGGGTCCTTAGGTCCTTGCCAACCCACCCATGCCCACCTCCCTGCTGACTCCACCGCACGCGCACCTCTCGAGAGGCTGACTCGTGGAGCACTGCACGCCCTCCCGTGACAGGCCGGCTCTGCCCCAGCCGCCAGGCCCTCCCTTGGGAGGGCTCTCGGGCCCAAGAGGACCTGTCCTCTCTGGTCATCCTTCCTCACACGTCCAGGCGACGGTGGGTGGCGTGGCGCCTGCTATGACCCTCACCACTCTTATCATTATTAATTTGGGGCGGTGGCCTGGGCATCGGGGTGGGAGCAGCCCCCAGAACCGCCCCGTGGTCCTCACGAGCACCAGAGGCTGCCTGCAGAGGCCTGGCCTCCTCCCCTCACGCACCTGTGAGCCTCACCTGCTGCCTCCCTCACCCACAGCAGAGCTGCCTCCCTCAGACCCAAGCAGACACGGGGTGCCCGGAATGAACCCGTCTTCCCTCAAGGACAGAGGGGCCAGGCAGCACCAAGGGGACAAATGGGGCAAACCTGGACCTGGGAGGAAGCTACGGTCCTGCAGTGTAAACACCTCCTGTGGAGAAGTCTGTGGGGCTGCTCGGGTGGCCTGGAGTGAGGCTGCCTGGGAGCTGCTCATCCTCAGCTCCTCACGGGGCCCAGACTCACCCCGCTGCCCCCCCCCCAGCCACCCCCCCCCCCCCCGCCACCCAGCTGCCAGGCCCCCTGCACCCCACCCCCTCCCCCTGCCGCCCCCCTGCACCCCGCTGCCCCACCGCCCCCCGCCGCTCCGCTGCCAGGCCCACCTGTCCCTTCCACGGCTGGGCCGACGCCCCTGCCTACCCTCGCTCAGAGCGCGTAGCCTCCCAGCTCTGTACACCTTGGCCGGCCTCAGGAAACCCTCGGGGACGGGC